CGAGTTGTCGTTGGCGTCCAGCACCAGCACGCGCACCAGCGCCTCGCTGCTCAGCGCCGGGGAGCCGCGGTCTGTGGCGCCCACGCGGAACTCGAACGCCTGCAGGGCCTCGTAGTCCAGCGACCGGAGGGCGAACAGGTGTCCGTTGTCCGCGTTGATGGAGACCAGGGAGGCCAGGGGCAGGTGCGGGTCCTGGGGCGGCAGCAGCGAGTAGGTGACCTGGGCGTTGGTGCCTGAGTCTCTGTCTGTGGCGCTGACGCTGCCGATGTGCAGGGCGGGGCTGTTGTTCTCGCGGACTAAGAGGGTATAGGAGGTCTGGGTGAAGGCGGGGGCGTTGTCGTTGACGTCGGAGATCAGCACGGTTATGTTGTACTCGGTTTTCAGCCTAGGAGTCCCCAGGTCCGTGGCTGTGATGGTGATGTTGTACTCGGCTCTAATCTCTCTGTCCAGTGGTCCTTCTGTTAACAACCTGTAGAAATTCTCAACGGAAGGTTTCAGTATGAATGGAACACCATTTTGAATTGAGCAAACTATTCCTCCATTTTCCCCAGAATCTCGGTCTTGAATGCTGAAAAGAGCTACCGTGGTCTCGGGAGAATTTTCAGGGATGGGGCTTCTGAATGAAGCCATGGTCAGTTCTGGGGCGTTATCGTTGATATCTACCACATGTATTTTGACAGTGCATTTTCCAGAAAGACCTGCCCTATCAGAGGCTTTAATGTCTACCTCATATGCCACAATTTTTTCAAAATCTAATTTTCTGATTATTTTAATTTCTCCCGTTCGTTCATTAAGTGCAAATGTCTTGGAAATCTCTTCATCACCATAAAAAAATGAGTAGAATATTTCACCATTAATTCCCGTGTCTAAATCTCTAGCGGAAACAGTGGCAACAAGGGATTCCAGGGGGCTGTCTTCTGAGATCTCCACCTGATAGAGTGGCTGCACAAACTCAGGTGCATTGTCATTGATGTCCAAGATTTCAACGAGGACCAGAGCAGTCCCAGTTCTGGGAGGGGCCCCACCATCTACTGCCATGAGAGTTAACCTGAGCTCAGCCTGCTCCTCCCGATCCAGGGCTTTGTCCAGAACCAGCTCTGGGTATTTTCTGCCTTCACTGCCATTTTGGGTGAGAACGTGGACATGGGAGTTGGGGTAGATGATGTAGTTTTGAATGTTATTGATGCCCACATCCAAATCTTGTGCATTTATCAGAGGAAATACAGTTCCTGGAGGAGTATTTTCCATGATTTTCAAAATCATTTCTCCTTCTGGGAACACAGGGGAATTGTCATTTATGTCACTGACCAGAAGTTTAAACCTATATATCTCCAAAGGTTCTTCCAGTAACACCTGGAATTGCAGCACACAAGGCTCAGTGGTGCCACACATTTCTTCCCGATCCAGTTTCTCATTTACTTGAAGGTCTGCGGTCTGAAGGTTTAGCTGAAAATATTTTTTGTTGTTGTTAAAAATAACCCGAGCCCTCCGCTGGAATATTTCTCTTACTCCTAGCCCTAGGTCCTTTGCTAGATTGGCCACAAAAGAACCGCTTTCTGTTTCTTCTGCTACAGTATAAACGTTCCGCTCCGCGCAAGTCTGAGACAGCATAACAAAGAGAAGCAGAACTTGCCTTAGTCTAGGAAAGTGCTCCTTTTCAGCTTCCATTTCTCCAACACCAACAGCCTTCAGAGTCCGGATTCTTGTGCTGTGTCGGTAGGCAATCGGCTCTGGGAATCAATCCTTGCCGCAACGGCAATTTTCGGTTAAGAAAGTCTCTTCTCTTTGACAGATCTATATGTGACAGTCTGAATTGTAACCACAGACGTAACCATCTGCAAGCCTGTTTTCCCGCAGCCTTAGCTTACAGCGCCACCATGTGTTGTACTTAAACCTAGTTTTCTAAGTATTCCACAAAACATGTATTCTACTTCCTCAGAGTTGTGCAAAAATCATGGATTATATATACGGGGTGGCTTATAAATTAAAATTCTGCCTTCTACTATCTTGTGAGATTATGAATGTAGAAGTGGTACCTGACCCTTTGGGAAATGATGCAAGTGCAAAGTTAATGAAATTTGTTTATTCAACAAATACTTATGATTTCAGATTATGCGCTAGTCACTGTACTAAGTACTGAGGATACAAATCCCTTGTATGTCCTCATGGAGCTTACAATATAATGTCTGCTATGTTGTATAGTGGAGGCTCTGGGGAAATTAAGCAGAAAAAGGTGTGTAGTTATCAGCCTATCCCTAAAAAAAGTATATATCCCATTAAACTCTTAACTCACTGCTAGCAGAGTAGATGAAGAGATTCATTCTCACATTTCAGGAGTATGAACTTAAGCGATGTACTAGCTAAAGCTAATTTATTATGCAAACTCAATAGGTAGCTTAAGGAGTTGTGGATAACTTATTTGTGAATATTGTCTAAGAACTGTGAGCTTGTTATGTTGCCTTGTTACATTATCTAAAATAATTCATAAAGAGCATCACCATCTATTGTTAATACTGAGATACACACATGTTGAAGCTGAGAGTCAGTCACTGAGATTTTGAAGAGGGAGACAGCCAAGATCACTGATATAATGGCTGAAGTTAAAGTAAAAAGTAAAATGCAGAAGAAAATAAGTTCACCTGAAATAGATGGTTAAGCTTATTCCCAACTAGAGACGATCTCAACTCATTTTTAGTAAGCAATCACATAACTCTTGTGGATTCCTTGGAATCCTGACATGCTAGCATGGAACTGAAATTCTCTTACTTCTAAGGAAAAGGGAAACAACTTGGGGTCTTCCCAACTGCACCAACTTTAGACAATGTTTTACTCACAATGTTTAAATAATAGACACTACTATGCGTTCTGGCATTCTAACTACCTAGCTAACTGTGAAAACTAAAGATGAACCAAATAAGAATTTTGTGTTTCATATTGGTTTAATTCTCTTAAGGTATAAATCACTCAAATCAACATTCTATTTTAGAATGTTTCCTTCTATACAAAGTTGATTAAACTTTCAAAATATGGGAACATGCCAGTCACAGTCAAAATCTGATGGACAATTGTCGTTACAGAAATATATTGGTCATGGATCCAAAATCATTATTATGAATTCACATGTCCAAGAAAATGTGTCCTGAATGTATATGCAGTTTTGAATATTACTGGGATAGAAGCTTGTACCTATGTCAGTAACCTAATGGATCAAAGTTAGTTTTTCTTTCCCCTCTTTCATCTCTTGGATACATTTTCCTCTTTCTTAGATCTTAGCTCCTAGGCTTGGCAGAAACTTAAATTTTTTCATTAGGCTTTCTAGCAGTAGAGTATATCAATCAAATAACATTTATTTCTATAACTGAAATCATGAATCAAACCATATGTTCTATAAATTGGGACTATTTATGGAGTCAAAATATTTTATATTATATGACAAAAATAATTCTGTTCACACTGAACTCAGCAAATAATTTTTAAAAGAAAGAGTCTGCTAAGGAGGGTATGAGGATCCTGAGAAAAGGTACAGACACCCAACCCATAACAATTTCAGTGTTATTATTATTTTTAAACTAAAAATATTATTTAAAAAGTAATCCTGGGACACATAAAATAATGGAGGGAAACTTAAGTTAATGAGACATTTCATAAAGTCCTTTGTAGCATTTATCTGTTGAAAACCTCATAAATTATTTACAAATTTAAATTTTGTTACATAAGCCTCTCGTATAGATTTGTTATCTCTAAGCTTGTACATCCTGCATTTCATTCATTAAGTTAATATTAGAAGCATGCAGTAAAAGACCGGGGTTTCATGGTACATAGTCTAATTGAGTACTCAAGGTTGTACATACGTTTCAAGTCTCTTAATTTCAAGAATTCCCGTTCAAGACAGGTTAAACAAAAGAATTTTGCTATTAGCAATGTAGTCTGAACCCAAGAGCAATTAGACACCGGGGACTTAGTTGGAACTGGACTTAGGTGGACAGGTCTAGAACTAAGTAGCTATCTTAGTCTCTACTGTTTCCTAGGTATCTGCCTCCTCCTTTCACTTTTACTCTTTCCTTCCATTTTCTCTCCTTTTTCTTTCTATCTGGAAACCATTCTCAGCTTCCAGTTACACAAGTATAAACATGGCTACCTCAGCCTATGCTCAACACTTATTCAAGAAGAAAGAAAAAGTGTTGAATTATATCTCAATCACAAATTTAGAAGTTTGGAGAATGTTGCTATTCTAGCTGAAATCAAGAATCTATCACGGGATCAATAAAAAATGATCAGGGCTCATGCCTATAATCCCAACACTTTGGGAAGCTGAGGTGGTAGGATCACTGGAGCCCAGGAGTCCATGACCAGCCCGTGTGACTTGGCAAGACCCCATCTCTTTAAAACAAGCAAACAAAAAAGAAAGAAGAAGAAAGGAAGAAGAGAGAAAAGAAGGCCTACAATGGAATAAGCATCACACTAGTGATCACTTCTCTTGGGTAGTATAGAGAAGTTCTCAGACAAGAAAGGAGCATGAGCTGTATATATATATATATATGGGGGGAAAAAACCCCTAAGTACAGGAAAAATTTTCTGCAATGTTTGCCAGAAAAGTAGAATGTAAAGATTATAGATTTTTTAAAAAGAAAAACTTAAACTAGATAACATTTTAAAAACCAACCTAACCAGATAACAAGCAATTATGTTTTGATTCATATTATGTCTGTAATAATATTCTCAATCATATAAAAACTGCTTTGGTTAGAGGATCCACAGTCAGAACACCTAGAAATGTGAATGAGCCCAATGTGCAATTAAACTTGAAGGAAAAATAATGTGTATGTGAATTATGTGAATATATTATTTGAGGTTGCATTTGAGAAGAAAGACTAAGCAAATTCCAGCTCTCTCAATTTTTTCACAGTTAATAAAAACAACAAAAAATAGACTTAGATTCTTTAGTGAAAACTCTTGAGTAAAATGAAGTTACCCAAAATGAAAAACTACCTAACAATGAATAAGATTTCAAAGAAATACACTCATTCTAAAAGTTCTGCATCATAATCAAATCCCTAATTGAATTCCATGCCATTCAGAAAGGCGGGGCTTTCTCCATTTCGCCTCCCCGGGGCACCAGATTGGGAATGATCGGCTTCAGAAACTTGAACTCATTTGTCTCGGAACCTCCAGACAGACACACCTCGTACTGGTAGCTCTGAGACAGGGTCCCGGTGCCGCTCACGTCCACCAGGTGCCCTGGAAAGGGACCCTCGGGCACCGAGTAGCGACCCACCGAGGCCGCCCTGCTCCTCCTGCACAGCCGCACAGCCACGAACAGGAGCACCGAGAACAGGAAGAGCGACGACACCGAGGCCAATGCCACCACCAGGTAGACGGTGAGCGAGTCGGCCTGGACCTGGGCCGGGGCCGCCTCCGGGAGCGGCAGGTAGGGCTGGGAGAAGCCGTCCACCAGGAGCACGTGCAGCGTGGCGGTGGCCGAGCGCGGAGGCTCGCCATTGTCCTTGACCAGCACCACCAGCCTGTGCTTGGCCGCGTCGCGCTCGCTCAGCAGCCTGGCGGTGCGCACCTCGCCATTGTGCGCCCACACGCGGAACAGCCCGGGCTCCGTGGCCTTGAGCAGCTGGAACGACAGCCAGGCGTTCTGGCCCGAGTCGCCGTCCACCGCCACCACCTTGGTCACCAGGTAGCCCGGCTCGGCCGCCCGGGGCACCAGCTCGGTGCAGGGCGCGGAGCCGTTCTGCAGCGGGTACAGCACGAAGGGCGAGTTGTCGTTGGCGTCCAGCACCAGCACGCGCACCAGCGCCTCGCTGCTCAGCGCCGGGGAGCCGCGGTCTGTGGCGACCACGCGGAACTCGAACGCCTGCAGGGCCTCGTAGTCCAGCGACCGGAGGGCGAACAGGTGTCCGTTGTCCGCGTTGATGGAGACCAGGAAGGCCAGGGGCAGGTGTGTGTCTTGGGGTGGCAGCAGCGAGTAGGTGACCTGGGCGTTGGTGCCTGAGTCTCTGTCTGTGGCGCTGACGCTGCCGATGTGCAGGGCGGGGCTGTTGTTCTCGCGAACGAAGAGGGTGTAGGAGGTCTGTGTGAAGGCGGGGGCGTTGTCGTTGACGTCGGAGATCAGCACAGTTATGTTGTACTCGGTTTCCAGCCTGGGTGTCCCCAAGTCGGTCACGGTGATGGTGATGTTATATTCACTTCTGACCTCTCTGTCTAGTGGGCGCTCTGTTACCAGAGCGTAAAAATTCTTGAAGGTAGGCTTCAAGAGAAAGGGGATGTTGTTCTGAATTGAGCAAACCATTCTCCCATTGTCTCCAGCGTCTTGGTCTCGTATGCTGAAAACAGCGACCACCATCTCAGGTGAAGAGTTTTCCGGTATGGGGCTAGTAAGAGATGTCATGGCTATTTCTGGCGGGTTGTCATTCATATCTACAACCTGAACTAAAATGCTTGCTTTTCCAGAAAGGCTCCCACCGTCAATGGCCTGAATGTTTATGATATAAGATGGAATAATCTCGTAATCTAGAGGCGCTTTTAAATAGACTTCGCCAGAAATTGGGTGGATTTCAAATGTTTTCCGTACATCTCTGGAGACGTGGGAAAATGAGTAAGTCAGTTCTCCATTTATTCCTGCATCTAAATCTGTAGCAGATACCTTGATGATCAAAGAGTCCAGAGGGCTGCTCTCAGGTACATGAACTTCATAGACTGGCTTCTCAAATTCGGGTGCATTGTCATTGATGTCCAGGACCACAACGTGAATCAGTGTAGTCCCAGACCTGGGCGGAGACCCACCATCCACGGCTGTTAACGTTAAACTAAACTCAGCCTCCTTTTCTCGATCCAGGGATTGGTCCAGTACCAACTCTGGGTATTTTCTGCCCTCATCACTGTCTCGTAATTTAAGATGGAAATGGGGATTGGGGCTTATTGTATAGTTTTGAACACCATTCTTTCCCACATCCAAGTCCTGTGCACTGTCTATTTGGAATAAGGTTCCTAGAGCAGTACCTTCAGAGATTTTTAAAAGTATATGATTGTCTAGGAACGTGGGAGTATGATCATTTATGTCTTTGACCAAAAGCTCAGCCCGAGAAAATTGCAAGGGATTTTCAAATAACACCTGGAAATGCAATATACATCGCTCTGTGAGATCGCAAAGTGCTTCCCGGTCCAGCTGCTTATTTAAGAGCAAGTCGCCATTCCGTAGATCCAACCGCAAATAAGGTTTATAGTCGTCAAAGATGACTCTGGCCCCCCGTGCAGCCAGGTCTTCCACATCCACACCCATGTCTTTCACAACGTTGGCTATAAATGTGCCGACCTCCATTTCCTCTGCTACGGAATAGCTCCAGGTCTTAGAACATACCAAAGACCCTCCCAGGAAAACAAAGAAAAGCAGCACTTGCCTTGTCCGCTGAGCTCTTCCCTTTGCAGGCTCCATGGCTCCTTAGCTAAACGTCTTTCTGGTGAAAACGTTTCAACTCAATCAACTAGCAGCTCAGAAAGTTGCTCCTCTCATCTATCAGCCTGGACCTTTGGGAATTTAGAAACTTGTAATCCTGTCGCGAAGGTGTTGATGGTGCTCTGCCTTTTGAAAGCCTCTTTTCTCCTGGTTTTACAGCGCTTTCCCGAGGGTAAGGGAAACCAGCGCATCTGCCGTGTTACAAAAATTTCACCATCTTATCCTGCAGCGCCACCATGCGACTCTGCAGATTTTCAGATTTTAGATAAAGTCAAATAAGCTTCAGACAAATTATTACTTTTTCTTGTGCGCTTGTTGATAAATTTAAATTATATTCTCCTCCGATATGCCTGTTTTCCGAGTTGCATTTTGGTTATATGTGATGCTATTAACTACCTTTCCATCATCAGCCACAATCTGCTACAGCTATGGTAGATAGAAGAAGCATATCTAAGATGTAGACCCTGCCTCAAACAAGTTATGATCTCTCTGAGAAGACAATATATTAAACAACTGAAGATAGTGAAGAATGCTTTTACATGTAATTGGCTTAGTAAGCAAGAGATTTTTAGGAAAATTGAAAATGGGAATTAGAGATCTTAGCTCTCTCAACAACTACACTTAGAGAAGAAGTATGTCTTTGTGTACTTGAAAATGAACCTGGTATATGCAAATAGTTGCTTCGAAGAGGTTGGACATTTTGAGCTGGGGAACTGGTATCATTTATTTAGGGATACTCAGTAGGACACTTAGCTGGCAAGAGTAGAAAATAAACACTCAAAAGTAGCGAGTAAAGTCAAACATTTCTAGTTTTTAACCTAAAAGCAAGTCCAGTTCAACATTTTAAAAAATGTGAACAAATTGGACCTCAGTTTAGTTGTGAAACTGAATTTCATCATTTGCAGACCCAGGCTTTCCAGGGGCACAATTCTAAATATGTTTACTTATGTATTAATTAATTGGTTTAACGGATATTTATTGAGAATATACTTTGTGCAAGGAATGGTCATAAGCGTTAGGGATAGAATGGTAAACAGACAGACATAGTTCCTGCCATGCAAGAGGGAGACAGAAAAATGACCACATATTTTAAATAGAGCACAATGAATGTCATGGTAAAGAAAGTTTACGCTACTACAAGGGCATAGATGATGGTCATCTAACCAGAATTTGGAAATACAGGACAAACTTTTCTGGAGAAAGCACATTCTAAATGGATACATTAAAAATTAGTAGGAGTACTTTAAACAAAAATTGGGTATGGAGTAAAATTGTTCAGGCAAACTAAAAACATGATTGTGCAGATCCAAATAAAGAAGCATTTGGAGGAACTAAAATAAGATCAATATAGCTAAGACATAGAGCAAGAGGAGAGAAATGATAAGAGTTGAAATTGGAAAGATCACCAAATATTTTGTAAGCTATGCCAAAGCATTTGGACTTTACACCAGTAGAAATGCAGAGTTACAGACCTGGTTTGGTGGTCCACACTTGAAATCCCAGCACTTTGGGAGGCTGAGGCAGGCGGATCATGAGGTCAGGAGATTGAGACCATCCTGGCCAATATGGTGAAACCCTGTCTCTACTAAAATACAAAGAATTAGCTGGGCATGGTGGCGAGAGCCTGTAGCCCCAGGTGCTCAGGAGGCTGAGGCAGGGGAATCTGCCTGAACCCAGGAGGCAGAGGTTGCAGTGACTCGAGATTGTGCCTCTGCGCTCCAGTCTGATGACACAGCAAGACTCTGTCTCAAAAAAAAAAAAAAAAAATGCAGGGTTATTAAAGAGATTATAATTAAAACAGAAAAGTGACGTGATTATGTTTCCACTTTTAAAAAAGCTTATCCTGTTTTAGAGTTGAGAATAAATTCGAGAGGAATAAGATTAAAGGTGAGAGATTGATTACAAATGGTTACAATAATACAAGTAAGAGGAAATATTGGCCTCAACCAGAAATGTGGTGAAAGGGTTGTATTAGAATAATAAAACAATAGGGAATGGGGTGATAAACAGAAGGAATGGGATAGAAAGGAATGAAGGTAAATGCACATTGTCTTCAGGCTTAGGGAACTGAGTGAGTGCTGGTTCTATTAACTGATAAACACAGGAAGAGCAGAAGAAAGAGGAACAGATATGGAGCTGGAGAAGATATATTATTGTTTTGAGGAAGGGAACAATTTTAACTTAAAATTGTTGAGCTTGAGCATCCATATACATAGTTATATAAATTAGCTTCTATTACATAAATATAGTTAAGGAAAGACGTTTGGGCTACAGAGTCACATTTGGGATTTACTGGCATAAATGGTCATTAAAGCCCTTCATGAAAGATAATAAGTTGCAGATTATAAGAAGTATATTTGTATTTGTGATTTCAGATGTGATGTAATTTTCAGAGACTACCATCTCCAGAGAGTGGCCATGGTCATAGGTTACTAGGCTAGAGGAGAAGTGAACGTCATTAGAAATGAAGAAGGCTAGACACAGAGAGAGGTCCCAAACTCTTAGATCCAGAGATGTCACAAGGGATGGGTAAAGAGGAAAACTATAATAAGTTACATTTAAGAGATAAAATGTCTTTACACTATTTTGTCCTGTCATCTGGAATAATTTAAAATTAAACTGCTATCAAGTTGATTTCATGCTCTCATTTGATGACTCTTAAATGCAAAGACCATTTAGGTATAAAGATTTACTAACTTCCTTCAGCACATTAAAGATTTACTACTTTCCATTATTTGCCATTGCTACTGTTGAGAAACATGGAGCATAGCTGTCAGTCTGGCATGTGTTTGAGAGTTCAATGTCCTTTTCCCTTGGCTTTTGGGGGAAAAAAAGAGTTTTCTTTTTCTTTGGTTTTCTGAGCTTTCACTATAATGTTTCTAGATATGGATATCTTTTAAAATTTATCCTGTTAGGTTTATTTAGGTCTCTTAAATCTGCTTATTGATGTTTTCATCAATTCTGAAGAATTCAAATTATTGTTTATTTAACTATTGCTTCTGATACAATTTTTCTCACATCTCCTTGGGTTCTGGTTAAATATAAGTTAAACCAGTTTTACTCTGTCCTCTGTTTCTAATATTCTCTTCTGTATTTTTCATCTTACCAACTTTCTAACCTACATATTGGATAAATTATATCCTAATCTATCTTTCTTTTCTGTAATTGTTTAGTTGTATCCAATTTTCTACTAAATTTTTTAGTCAGTTTAAAATTTTGATTATGATATTTTTTTTCATTTCTCGGAGTTCTATTTTGTTATTTTCTAATCTGTCAAATTTTATAGTATTTTGTTCCCTGTACATCTTCAAGTTTAACTTTTATTTCAATTAAAGTGCCTAGCATATTATAGACTGTGTCGGATAGTTACAATATTTGAAGTGCTTGCAAGATTATTTTTATGTTCCTTTTTTTTCTGCTGGCTCTCACTCATAGTGTCATGCTCCCTTGTGTATGCAGTTATCTTTGTTTATGTTAAGAACATAAAAAATTAGTTGTGTGAATGATTTGAGGCTTAGAGTGAATAAGCATTCAAACATTGAAAACTATAAGAAGTCACATTCGCATTCACTATAGGAAGTCACATTTCATAAAAGATCTGCATTTGGTTCTATCAGTTCCTGGGAGCACTACCTGTCAATGATCACCTTAAATCAAATTTAAGGCTAAAAATCAAGTTAAAGACTAAAAATCAAGTTCAAGGATGAAATTCCCCCGCAAGAGCTCATCCACTTCCAGTTTACTTTCACTCCAAAGGTTTGGCTGTCAGGGATCCATGCTTATTAATAGAGGTTCAAGTTTTCCAGGATTACCAAGGAAAAAGTAGATTTCAGGCTTACTTATCTCTCTGGGTTTCCTTTTAACATTAACTCTAATCTGACAATATATTAATGTCTTAATGGCTAATTGTTTTTAGTGAAATCATTGGGCTACATAATTTTTATCATCCTTATTAAAAATGTAGTGTCTCAGGGATATTGTTACAACTCAAAACTGCAAGCAAACTCTTAGCTTTCATAGTGTATGGGTAACTGATATTTCTGGGAGGCTATAGAAATAATATGTATTTTTAAACAACTTCAAATTATCAATACTAGATCAATTCTATAATGACATAATGAATTTAAACAATCTCTTGGAAGAGTCAACTATCATTGGCATTGGTATTCACTCTCACTTCTTTCTGTACCCCTTGTTCCCCTATATATACACAAATATCTTCTTTTCTATATTCTCTCTTCTCTTCCTTCAGAATGTATACTTATATATTTGCATATTTCTATAAATATAAGATATTGTGTATTATATGTGTGTATAGACACATGTATATCACTGTACTATAAATCTCCATCTCTTTTTTCTTTTAAAATATTTGAGATTTATCCATGTTATTGCATGCTAACTTCTTTTAATCACTGCATAGTAATCCTTCACTAACATGTTACACATTTTATCAATTACTTTACGAATGGATATGTAGTTGAAGATGAATATTCTTATATACATCATTTTGTAAAGCTTTATAACAGTTTTCTGGCTTATATCCCACAATAGAATTGCTGAATTATAGAGTAAATATATATTAAGTTTTGCTAAATACCATCAGAAAGCTCTCTAAATAGGCTGCACATGTGATTTCCTATTATCCCACTTGATATTACCCAAATCTCTCATCTTCACTAATTTTAGTGTATGTTTCACCAACTAAACATCATTTCAAGTTATTTTCAGACTTTCTTTTTTCCCTTTTCTTAAATTCCTTTTTCTTTGTCTTAAAAAAATCCTATTGTCTCTCCTGGCTTTGTTGGTGTTGTTGATTTGCAAGAGTTATTTGAATAATGTAAATATTAATCTTGTTGGTTAAAATACTGCAGGTGGCTTCTCACTGTCATCTGTTAGTTTGTCTGTGCTATCCTTTAATTTTGAGAAATCCACATAACTAACAATTACTTGTTACAATGAAAAGTAAAATCAGTGAAAATTGCATGAAATAGAGGAAAAAATTTCTAAGGAAATTGGAATTTGTTTCACCTATTTCACAATGGCAAGTGAAATTCCATTATATCCACACTACATACTAGTTATCAAAATGTCTATCTATAATCTTCTATTGAACTTTCTTTTAGATCTGAGATATAATTTGTAACATGATGAGGCATCTATAAACCATAAATGCCTACCCATTCCTTCTTTGTAGGCATCC